AGATTGGGCACCAGGTGGGCTCCATGCTCAGTGCAGAGTCTCCTTAAGACTCTTTCTCCCTTTCCCTCTGTCCCTCCCCTCCTCATGTGCTCTCTCTCTCTCTAAAATAAAATAATAAGGGACGCCTGGGTGGTTCAGTCGGTTAAGTGTCCGCCTTTGGCTCAGGTCATGATCCCAGAGTCCTGGGATCAAGTCCCGTAAGAGGCTCCTTGCTCAGCAGGGAGCCTGCTTCTCCCTCTGTCTGCTGCTCCCCCTGCTTGTGCATTCTTTCTCTCTGACAAATGAATAAAATCTTTAAAAAAAATAAAATAATAAATCTTTTTTATAAATAAATATATATGAGTGTCTAATTGTTACAGCATTATTTTTTTAATGCTTTCCTTTCCTAGTTGAATGCCTTAAGAATAAAAATCATTATGGACTCCCTTATCTGTTCTGTTGATCTATATTTATCTCCTCTGGACCTTATCACACTGTCTTGGCTTTTTTAGCGTTATAAGTTTTGAAATCAGGTAGTGTAAGTCCTTCAACTTTTTTCTTTTTTGACTTGCTTTCACTATTCTCATAAATTTTATAATGTTTGTCAGTTTTTTTAAAAAAGCTCTTGTGAAATTTTTATTGGAATTACATTGAGTCTATAGATAAATTTGAAAAGAATGAATATCTTAATATTGAGCATTCTAATTCATGAACATGGTGTATCTCTCTTTATGTAGGTCTCTAATTTTTCTCAATAGTGTTCTAGTTTCCAGTGAAGTGTTCATTAATTTTATTCCTGTCTTTTATGTTTTATACTTTTCATGTATTCTCATAAAGTGGATTTTTAAAACTTCATTTTCTATTAGTTTACTGTTTAATATATAAAATACAATTTTTTATAATAAACTTATATTCTATAATCTTGCTAGTAGTTTTGTAGATTCCTTAGTATTTCTACAGAAACAATCATGTCATCTTCAAATGAGGATAGTTTTACCTTTTCCTCTTCCAAGTTCTATATGTCTTCCCCCCCCACCCAGTTTTTGTCTTTTGTCTTTTCATAAAGACTAGTACCTCTATTATATTTTTCAGTAGAAGTGGTGAGTTTTTACCTTGTTCTTTATAGAAAGCATTCAATATTTCAACATTAATTATGATATTAGCTGTTGGTTTTTCTAGATACCACCTCTCATATTGAAGTTCTCTTCTATTACTAATTTGCTGAAGGTTTTTTAACATGAGTGGATCTTGAATTTTGTGAAAAAGCTTTTTTGCACATACTAAAAAGATCATTTTTAGTGATCTTTTTGAATTTGAATTTGATTGAATTTCCTCCTTTATTCTGTTAATATGGTGAATTGTACCAATTGGATTTGGTTAAGATGATTTATTCATTTCATACATTGTGAGATTCTATTTGCTAATATTTTTAAGGTATTTTTGGGTCTGTGTCCATGAGTGTCATTAATCTGTAATTTTCATTTTTTTGTGATATCTTTGTTAGGTTTTGGAGTTAGTATTATGTTGGCCTTCTAAAACAACTTGAGAAGTGTTCCCTTCTCTTTATTCTGAAACGGTTGTACAATCTTGATGTTATTTCTTCTCTAATAGAATTCAGAAGTGAAACCATCTAGGCCTAGGTGTAAAAGTCATAATAAATTAAATTTTTAATTCAGTTCCATTTAAAAAATAAATATAGGGTCATTCTGATTTTTTAAATTTCATTTTGTGTCCATTTTGACAACTGGATTTTTTAAGAAACTTATTTTTTTTATCAAAGTTGTTGAATTTATTGTCATAAAGTTGTTCATAGTGTTCTCATTATTCTTTTTGCTATCTGTAGGATCTGTAGTGATAACTTCTCTTCCATTTCTGATGTTGGTGATTTGTTCTCTTTTGATCCTTGTTCAAATCTAGTTAGAATTTAATCAGTTTTTTTAAATCTTTACAGATTTCGACTCAGGTCATGATCTCATGGGTCATGAGATTAAGCCTGACGTTGGGCTCTGCACTGAGCGTGAAGTCTGCTTGGAGATTCTCTCCCTCTGCACCTCTGCACATTCATGTGCTTTCTCTCTCTCTCTCTCTCTCTCTTTCTCTCAAATAAATCAATAAATCTTTTAAAAAAATCTTTCCAGAGAACTACCCTTGAGTTTCAATTTTCTCTGTTGTTTCCTATTTCATTGATTTCTGCTCTCATCTTTATTATTTCCTTCCTTGTACTTACTCTTGAACCTTAGGTCATTAATTTTGAAATTCATTCCTACCATAAACATTTAAAGTTATAAATTTGTCTCTAACATTGTATATTCCACAAATCTTGGTATGTTAGATTTGCATTATCATTCAACTTAAAACACTTTCTAATTTCCTAATGATTTCTTCTTCGACCTGTGGTTTATTTAGAAGGGTGTTGTTTAATTTTCACGTACTTGAGGTTTTCCTCTGTGTCTTATTTTTATTTATTCTAATTTACCCTCTTATAGTCAGAGCACAACTTTGTATGATTTCAGTCCTTTTGAATTTGTTGAGTTTTGTTTAATGGCTTATCATATGAGCTGATTATACCATGTATACTTGAAAAAAATATGTGTTCTGCAGTTGTTGGGTATAATGGTCCATAAATAAATATCAGTTAGGTCACAGTGATTGATAGTCTTGTTCAGATCCTCAGTCCTCCCTATCTTTACTGATTTGTTTTCTAGTTGTTCTGTAATTGCTAAGAGAAGAGTTAAAATCTCATACTGTGATTGTGGAATTATCTTTTTATCTCTTTAATCCTGTCAGTTTTTGCTTTATATTATTTTGAGGCTCCATTATTAGGAACATACATGTCAAGAACTGTAAAGGTTCTGAGACTTTACCCTATTTGAAAGCTAACAAGTTAGCCTGCCACAATTTCATGGGAGCTTGGCTAAAGACATGAGATTCTTGGGTCAGAGACAGAGGACAACTTATTACTCACAGTATATTACTTACAGAATATCATGATTTGTGTGTGTGTGTTTGTGTGTGTGCACGCACGCATGTGTGTGCTGATTCTCTAAGACCTAAATTCCACCATGCAACCATATGAGGTCTTGATGTTTGTATTTTCTATAGTGTTTTATGTGTGGTATCAGCTACATTTTCAGGGTTTTTGTTTTTTGTTTCTTTAATTAGGAGATGTTCGTGTTAGAGTTCCTGTCTTCCTTATTTTCTGTATTTACTTCTATCAAATCTTTTTTCTGGGTATTTCATTCAAAAGTGCACATATAGAAATGTGCTGTGTTTCACTATTTATAAGTGAGTGTCTCTTAAATCTTCAAGAAATGCCATTTTTTTATTATGTCAGCAACAAGAGTAATTTTTTGGAAGTGGAAGGCATGTACAGTTTTGTAGTGTTTCATTTCCAGTGCTCTTCATTTCTTCCTGAAGATTCAGTTTTTCATCTTAAGTCATTTCCCTTAAATCTGAAGAACGTCATTTAGCATTTTCTGTAATGCCATTCTGCTAGAAACAAGTTTTCTTGGTTTCTTTTATCTGAAAATGACTTAATTTTTCATTATTAAAGAATATTTTCACTGGTACCAGAATTCTAGAATGACATTTTTATTCTTTCAGCACTTTAAAGATGTTGTTCTGCTGGTTTCTGCCCTTCGTTGTTTTGATTGAGAGTCCTTGGTGATTCAAATTATTGTTCCCTGCATTCAGTCTGGTAGCTTTCAAGATTTTGTCTTTGGTTTTCAGCAGTTTGCTATGATGTGTCTAGGTGTGGTTTTCTTTATATTTATTTTATTTTGAATTCACTGAGCTTCTTGATTGTGTAAATTTGTTTGTTTACCAATTTGGAGAAATTTTGGCTCATTCTTCTTCAAGTATTTTTTCTGCCCCATCTTCTCTTTCCTTTCCTTCTGGGACTGTAGTTACACAAATTAGACCTTTTGATATCAGCCCATGAGTGATCTTTTAATGTAAATCTTACCAATTCACCTTCTACTTAAAACTGTCTAATGACTTCTCTTTACAAGAAGAATATAGTCCAGACTCTTTACCCTGTCTTTTATGGCATTATGATCTGCCTATGACTGTCTTTCGGACCTCATTTCCTACTGCTTTTCCCTTTATTCACTCTACCACAGATTTTTTTTTTTCTTTCCCTGGAACATATCAGTCATTCTTGCTCTTTGTACTTGATACCTTGAATTCTCTTCCACCCATATCTTTCTAAAGTTGGCTCTTTTGGGTATCTGCATAAGTTACCTCCTCAGAGAGACTTTCTCACACCACCCCAACTAAAAGTTGCCCCAGCCCCTTAACACATTTTAGACCCATATCTGTTTTAATAACTTTATTGAGAAATAATTTACATAACAAATTTAACCCATTTAAAATATACAATTCAGTGGCTTTTAGTATATCCACAGACATATGTAACCATCACCACAATCACTTTTACACATATCTATCTTATTCATGCTATTTTCTAGTACCAAGAACAATGTCTGGTATATAGTGCATGCTCAATAAAGTTTCCTGAATAGATGAGTTCATTAGCTCTAAGATAATTTAGGCATTAGCCTCCAGTAAAATATGAGGGAAGTTCATTTGACTACTTTCAGCTCTAGAAGTATTCTTTTATCAGAGCTGTGCTATTTTGAGGGCTCTCTAAAACAGCTTAACCCATATTTTAAGAGTTATTGCAGGAAGTTCCAAAAAAAAGTCTTTTGATATAATGAATACAAGTCATATTACACATTTCTCTAAGAGAAAATAGCCATCTTTTATTGACCTGACAGTTGCTGAGAAGCAGAAAGCCTCTCAGAAGTATTGCTTTGCTATTTTCAAAAGTACTCTGAATATTGTTGATTTGTTTGAATCTTTGAAATAGATTATAGAATCACTAGTACTTGTTTTATGTACTAATTATGGGTAATAGTGGGTTATTCATGAGATTCTAGACATCCCCTCTCTTTGGTACCTTTCATGTGGAATGTCAGTCTTGAGCTTGGTTAATCTGCATTATCTCATCTTCTTTATAGGCTTTGATGCGGCCTGGAAGAATTGACAGAATCATCTATGTGCCTTTACCAGATGCAGCAACAAGAAGGGAAATATTTAACCTGCAGTTTCACTCTATGCCGATCAGTAATGATGTGGATCTGGATGAACTCATCCTCCAAACAGATACATATTCAGGAGCAGAGGTAAGATAGTTCTGCTCAAAATACCTTGGTGGCAGGAAAGCAGTGGGTTGGGGTCATTAGCAAAAAGACTGCTTGATACCAACTGTTTTAAGTAACTATATGTTAAGAAATCTTAAAACAGGAAATGCACTATATGACAGGTAATCACTAAATTAAATTACATTTTACTGGCCTCTATTATATCTCAATTGTTTTTCACCTGACTTCTGTTACTTCTCAAAATGTAGTCTTCAGAGAATTAACATGATATAGTGGGGAGAACATTGGACTAGAAGTAGAAGTTTCTTCTTTGGAGTTTCTTGATACATTAGCTTCCAACCATTCAGCTTCTCTGAACTTTGATTTCTTGACCTATCAAATGGAAATGAAACAAACTTTACATACTGTTTTCTTATAGAAATCATAAAAATGAAATAAGGATATCATGCAAGTGCTCAGAAGTACAAGAATTGGCAGAGAGATTGTATTATTACCATAGTTTATCATTTTGGAAAATTATGTTAGTCTACTTATGTATTAACAAAGATTCTCTCGTAAAAACGGTAAGAGAGGGGCGCCTGGGTGGTTCAGTCGCTAAGCATCTGCCTTTGGCTAGGGTCATGATCCCAGGGTCCTGGGATCAAGCCCCACATGGGGCTCCCTGCTCAGCGGGAAGCCTGCTTCTCCCTCTCCCATTCCACCTGCTTGTATTCCCTCTTTCACTGTCTCTCTTTCTGTCAAATAAATAAATAAAATCTTAAAAAAAAACACACACACACACAGTAAAAGAGGATGCCTGGGTGGCTCAGTCAGTTAAGCATCTGCCTTCGGCTCAGGTCATTTTCCCAGGGTTCTGGGACCGAGTCCCACATCGGGCTCCCTGCTCTTTGGGGAGTCTGCTCTTGCACACTCTCTCTCTCTCTCTCTCACACATGCACACTCTCGCTCTCAAATAAATAAAATTTAAAAATAAATAAATAAGTAATAAAAACTGTAAAGGGGACAGTCTATAATCTACCCTTAGCTGTGAAAGTATACTCTCAATAAGAACAATAAGACCTCTGTGAGGGGCGCCTGAGTGGCTCAGTTGGTTAAGCAACTGCCTTCGGCTCAGGTCATGATCCCGGAGTCCCAGGATCGAGTCCCACATCAGGCTCCCTGCTCAGCAGGGAGTCTGCTTCTCCCTCTGACCCTCCTCCCTCTCATGCTCTCTGTCTCTCATTCTCTCTCTCGCAAATAAATAAAATCTTAAAAAAAAAAAAAAAAAAAGACCTCTGTGAAAAAATGAAAGTTTTCAAGTATGGCAGGTAAACATTTTTTCCTCTCCGTGGCAACTTTTTGCTTAGGCCATTTTTATTTACAAAATAAAATTCCAATTAAAATAATCGTGCATCTTTTCTACATGCATTTCTCAAGAAAGGACAGGCTGTAGTCCTCAACACAGAAGTATCTTCTGAATACCACTAATAGGGATTTGTACTAGGAAATTAGTATCTTTTTAAATAAGAAATTATAAATTCTTTTATTCGGAATTATCCAGCAGACAAACTTCACATTCTGTCTGCTTGCTATTGTTTGTAATCTGTCCTTTGTGAAAACCAAAGAGATTAATACATAATAGATCATTAGTGTACTCAGAGAGTATTGTGGGTAAATTTACATGTAGAATTGGAGTGAGTGTATCATTCAGTCATAGCTAATAACAACTAAAATAAATCCCAAATCTCCTCATTGTTTTATCTCAACTGTGAACTATGTATATTTGATTTTCCCCCTGTAGGTTTTTCATTTTCACTGAGAGGGGAAAAAAAGTCATATAGAAAGAAACTTGAGAAGCAGTTGAAGTACATACGTTTTTAAGTCCTATCTGAAAAAATAATCCTTATGATCATCTTCTTGACATGACAGTCCATTAAGTTAAAATGAACATATAGTTGCTGTTAACTGACTGCTCCAGCATTTCTAGAATTCAGTTTTGGTTGTGAGACCAAGGGCAGGCAACGTGTGTATGATACATCAGTTTACAGGAAACAGCAAAGAGAAGAAACCGTAAATCTTCCACTTGAGCTGAGTAAAGTGGAAGAGCAGTTAGCAAGGTAGAAATGTGCCTTTCTCACTTTGAAGTAATTAATGGTAGTAGCATAGAAGTGCAAAACAAAAATCAAAGCCAGTGAGATTCTGTCTGGCTGAAAGGAAAAAACTCACTTGGTGCCAGAAATTATTGTAGCAGCTTGCTAGTTCTTATGTAGTACATGTCTTACTCAGGCTGTAACATAAGCACATTCATTTCTGATTAATTTTTATAGCAGATCTTCTAAAAATAGTCACAAGGAAAAGTAGCAGAAAATTCTGTCCCTCCTTGAATTACATTTATGGGTCCCATAATGGTTGGTGGGGGAAGTATATCCCACCCTGATCCTAATTATAATCCATATTTTATTACAACTTCATAGAAATTTTATTCAGAGCTATTTCTTAGTAGTTCTGGAGTTTTCCATTTGGGCCAGACAGATTTGTTCCATATTGTTTGTTTTGGGCTTTTGTTTTTGTTTTTTGTTTTTGTCTGATTATTTAGGCAGTTCACACAGGTGCCCTTTTGTTTCAAGAGAACTATGATTTTCTTAAGTCTTAAAATTAAATAAATAGGAAATTTAAGACAGACAACATTTAGCTTCAAATAAAATATAAGATCCCATCTTTCCCCCCACCTCTTTCCTTCAGAATGAAAATGGTGCAGCAATGTTGAAAGCCCAAATTAGCTGATTATTTTTTTTTTTTTAGCAGTAAGACAAATTCAACCTGGAACCCTCAGTCACCTGACTCCTACAGATCCAGTGCTTTACCACTGATTGAACTAATTTATTTCGTCCTTCAGCACAGAACCTATTACATAGTACATACTTAAATAAGCATTTAACAAACTGAAAAAGAAAAAAGATTTTTGAAATTATATTTAGGAAGAATAGACTTCCCTTTGTCGTTGTCATAAGGAGAGCCCTCTAACTTTGCAGCTGTACACCGTGCTACGGCCACAGCTACTTGTTCAACTCTAGAGAGTGTCTCAGTGGCCACTTCTGGTATAAAATGAAAATACTGATAAATTTGTTGTCTTCACAGGAGAGTATTATCAATTTTATATATTAATATATTAATTGTGTATTATACATTAATTTAAACTGTACAGTCTTAGCTGTATGAACAAGAATTTGGCCAGGTGAGTCAGAAGATGAGGAAATGGCTGACGCTGGTGTCTGTGTTTTAGAAACAGAAAAATGTTTAACTGTAGTGAGTATTTTCTTCATCTTTATTTTTAATTAAAAAGCTATAGAGCTATAGTCATGTGACTCTTGACCTTGGGGTTGTGAATTCAAGCCCCACGTTGGGCATAGAGTTTACTTAAAAAAATAAATTACGACAACAACAAAAAGCTATAGAGTGGTTGGAGATGATATGGGTACTTTTAACGACTGAAATGGAGGAGTTACTTTTTAAAAATGTTTTCTTTCAACCTAGTGCTTTATTCTGCTCAGTCAACATTGTTTCTTTCTTTTTTTTTTTTTTTTTAAATTTTATTTATTTATTTGACAGAGACACAGCGAGAGAGGGAACACAAGCAGGAGGAGTGGGAGAGGGAGAAGCAGGCTTCCCGCCGAGCAGGGAGCCCGATGCGGGACTCGATCCTGGGACTCCAGGATCATGACCTGAGCTGAAGGCAGACGCTTAACGACTGAGCCACCCAGGCGCCCAGTCAACATTGTTTCTTAAAGCTTACACAGGCTGTGTTTCAAATGGCCCCTTAGACCCCACTGAGTTTCTCCATTTTCCCTCCCTGGAGAGGGTAGACAGAGAACTGAAGCATTTCTTTAATTCTCAGGCGAGTCCCAAGGGGAAGTTTGTTGCCAGCTGGAAGGGGAATAGGGTCACAAGGGAGCAGCCTCCACAGAGAGGTTGAAGCAGGTGGTAGCATCCTTCAGCCATCCCTGTGCCTGCCTCTCCCCGGTGGCCAGAACCTCATTGTCTTTGTGGCTTCTTGGCTGTAGCTCCCAGTTAATAGAAAAACATGTTGCCATTTAAAAGCAGATGGGAATTCAGTTCAGGAGGAAATAAGAAGTCTTTTTTGGTTATACCCATTGTTTTCTTTTGCTTTGATTTTTGTTTTTTAAGTTATTTGTAGCAGATTCCACTTCATTTTTTCATTTGTCTTTTATCCAATTATCTGAGTTACTTTAGGAAAACTTTTATCTTACCCACCAACAGGAAATCAACAGTCACAAATACGTGCACATGAAAGGCATAACCCGGCCCATTACCCATGTGCCATGTGCTTGGGAACAGAGGTGACGAGTAAGATATGTAATTTCCTCTCTGTATAGGAATTTGCTGACATAGGCTCACACCTAGTATCTGTAAAATTGGAGTTGAATGTTTACTTGTATTTGGATGTTATCCTCCTGTTAGTGATTATCTCATCAAATGAAATTGATAATATATGTCTAAGAGCCAGGTATCAGTTGCATAATTTATAAATAATATAGACAATCAGAGCATTTGTTTCATACATCCAGAATTGAGGATTCAACTTCCAAGAGAGGCAGTAAAGGGAAAACAAAACAGAATTTTAATGTTGCATTTGAGTAGACTTTTAAAAGAATTGTAGTCTTTTTCTTTCAGGGTGGTTTCAGGCAAGTTATTTAACCTCTTTGGACCTCAGTTTTCTCATTTTTAAATTATCTAAGTGACTGAAATTGTTTTGAGGGTTAAAGGAGGTAACAAACATAAAAGCACCAAGGAACAGTGCCTAACACATAAAGAGTGCTTTATAAATGTTACGTCCCTTTATTCTTTCTTCCTCTTATCTGTTCAGTGTTTATATTTACCACTGAAGTATTAGATGATGTTGTTATAAGGTGGCAATGTCTTGCATTGCCTCAATAACCAGATAACGTATCTGAAAGCTAAGTTATAAATGAGTTGCTTCTTGTTCTTTTCTAAAGAATATAACATCTGCTTAATATGGTGAT